GAAGCGGCGGCTGTGGGGCGGTGCGCGGCGGCTCCTCGGGCTGCTCCGGAGGAGGAAAAAAAGGAGGCGGCTGCTCCTTTTGAAGCGGGGGGAGCCCGCCCCGGCCCTTTCCGCGCTGGGGAGCTGGCGCTGGCGGAGTTGCGGAGGAAGCACAACACGACGCTGAAGCTGATGTGCCGGCTAGAGGCGGATTCGGTGTTGAGCAGCTCCAGCGGCATCCTGCGCCACCGCGACATCATCGGGCAGCTGCCCGGGCAGGTGCTGCGCACCTCGACCGGGGCGTGGATGCTGCTGAGGCGGCCCTCGCTGGAGGATTACGTGCTGCTCATGGCGCGGGGGCCCACCATTTCCTACCCCAAGGTACCGGCCGCTCGCCGGGCTGGCTGGTGGGTGTCTGGGAGGTCACTGGCTGAACGTCACGCTTAGTTTCCAAAACTAGTAACGTGCCACGCTTTTCTCATCCATAGGATATAAGCGCTATTTTAATGATGATGGATATCCACCCGGGAGACACTGTTTTGGAAACTGGCAGTGGGTCTGGTGCTATGAGCTTGTTTCTGTCAAGAGCAGGTGAGACCCTAGTTTTAGAAAACATTGAAGCACCCTTATCACACGTTGCCTTTCTTTTGATCATATATTAATGGTTAGTTCTTACATGTTTTGCTGCAGTTCATAGGTTCATGCATAGTTTGTTGACATGAGGGAAAACGGCATCTCTGCCAGAGCCAGTGCAGGGTCTGCAAACCATTTTGACTGTTTTGAGGGCCATAGTACAGAAGGGCCGTAGTGTAGAAGGTTACCAAAGGGTCTGCAGTGAGTTTCAGCCATTGTTATTGTTGGCTTTGGCTCAGCCACAGTACGCTCTTTCTCCGATCTCTTACCCTTTCTCAATTTTCTTTTCCTCATCTTGATGGACCACGTGAATAATTGGATCGCTGCGTACCAGTGAAAATCCTTATGTGGGTACACACTGTTATTTTTTCACGTTATAGCTAGCTTGGATTGATCTAGGTCTTAATGCTCAGAGGCGAGAGACTTTGCACTCAGCAGGGTGAGTGAGGGTGAAACCTCACCCTTCAGCTTCATCTCATCTGTAGGTATCCTGTTAGTGAACCACCTTTCAGAGTTCTTTGATTTACTGGCTTCTGGCAGAACAACTTCCTTAACGAAAGAAGGACAATAAACCAAAATAATAACCCCAGAATTGTTTGTTGTACTTGCTTTTACACACACCTGAAAAACAATACACCATTTGAATTTGGTTTTCATACTGGTGGTGTATTTCTGCTGTTGCAGAATACTGCCCTTCTCTGCAATATTGAAGGACTTTTGAGGGTAAAGATGGGAACCTTGTCATAGATGGCCTTGAAGTGACAGCAGAAAAGCATGAGTTACAGATTCTGAAGGCTTACGTTCAAAGGCAGGGTTTGTGGGGACTCTGCCATCAGAGTGTAATTGGATAGCTGAGGGTGCCAGCAGCGGTCACTGAGCCTGGGAAGTACCCCATATTCTGAGCTTTGGAAACCTCAACACTAATGTTTCTTTTTTAATATTTTCCAATGTGTGTTTTAAGGCATTGTTATAGGCTATGCTGTCTTTGTAAAATGTTTACAGTTTGGGCTGCCTTTGTGGTTGTACTCTGCATCATTTGACAGTTCGGGATAGAAAACATTTCGGTACTCCCACCTACAGCCAGCCAAGTGTCTGTGGGAGGTGATGCTTCCTTTTACACTCCCGTGAGGGAGACAAATCAAACAGATCAGCTGCTCTTTTTGTTCAAGTCCATTAAATAACCTTAGAACTCAAGGGCAGCAAATTAGTTTTCTCTTATTCTCCCGTGTAGCAGTGCTGTATATCTGCTGTCCCTTGGCAGATGCTCCAGGATAACAATACAAGGCTTTTTGGAAGCATGGGTTTTTCTGAGGAAGTTCAGTATTCAGCAGGTATGTTACTGGTGTCATCAATCCAGCCTTGCTCTGGCATGCCCGGTCACACTGCTGAGGGTAACACAAGTTGCTCAGGGCATGGTGCAAACAACAGTGCTGAGATCCATCGGGAGCTTAAAATTTGTGAGGGCATGTCAGCAACAGCAAAGGGAATCTGGAGGATCCCCTGCTGAGACAAACAGAGTATTTTGTTCTTCTTGGTCATTTGTTTTAGTTGCAGTGATCTCCACCTGGCATACTAATTCAGTTGAAAACCCTTATTTTAACAAACACGCATTACATGCTGCCCTAAGATGGGTCAGCTGCAGGTGGTCTTGAGACGTGTTGGGCCCAAGTTTTGAAGTCAACAGTTGCACCTCTGCTCCCTCACCTTCTTTCTGCCTCCTATTGATGTTCCTTAGTTCCAAATTCTTGATGATTTAATGATTCCATTAATCTCCTCTTTTCATATTACTCTCATTTTATGTTTTACTTTACATTCCTTCTTTAATCTTTCCCAGAAACTACTGACATACAACAGGACAAAGTTAAGACTGTGTTAAGAATGTGGCATATGCCATGACTTTAAGATCTTTGAGAACTGGAAAATATGTATGCGAAGTGACATACTGCAGCTTCACAACAATGAAGAGTTTTGCCTAGCTATTTTAACTAGTTGTCCTTATTTTTCCATAAGTCAGTTTCAAAATGTAGGAAATTTTTGGAACAAGAAGAGGAAGGAATAAGACTAACCCCAATGTGAGCAATTTTATTCTTCCATTAGTTCCAAACTGACAATCTCGAGGGGCTGGTACTGTGACTACAACTGCTTAGAATGATCAAGGATGACACTGCTGAAACCCTCTGGCCTCTGTCTGATCCAGGGTGAGCTGGATCAGGGAGAGTGCTGGGAAACCCATCCCTTCTTTTATTCGGTTTTCTGAATGGATTCACAGTAGGATCACACAGATGAGGGAAGGAGCCTGGGGACTCCAATGTAAAATGGTTTAAAATATCACAAAACCTCACCTGCTGAGCTGCTGATTGCTGAAAGCTGTCTTGGCCCATCAAAAAGTAGCAAGGAGAGAGAAGCTAATGGTGTGGTAGGTTTGAGAAATTAAGAGTAGTACAAGGATAGAGCGATACAGCATTGTCTGGGCTGCTGTCTGTGCCTGGATTTCCTAGTAACGCTTCCTTTAGGAAGAACATTGTGTATTGGGGTTGTATGGTAAATTTCAGGATAATAAATTTATACTTAAAACAAGTAATAAAACAGTTTATTACAGTTATAGACAATAACGGGAAGGTAACACAAGCCTGTGTAAATCAAAGAGTACACTTGAAAACTTGTCTAAGGCGTGGAGATCAGTGAGCAGGTGGGGGGGTTCTTTCCCAACCCAGAGAAGGAACAGGTGAAGAAAGAACTATACATGGAAAACAGCAAGCCTTTTTAAAAATGAGGATTTTCAAAAAAATTTAAACCCAGCAGTTTCAAATCTTGCTAACAACAGGAGCAGTCGCTGTCTGTCAGCTTTACAGCATCCGTGAGTGGTGAGCAATGTTGCTGCTTTCTTGGCTGGTATCTCCGGTGGGAACCCTAGATGGACCACAGCAGGAGAACCCGAGGTGGGTGGGGCCGCAGTGGCTCAGGTTCTCCTTTGCTGCAGGAGTTACTTGGGGAAGGTGTCTTAGGAACAGTTTGTACTACTATAACTGTGCTTTATTTCATCTGTGGATTGATGGATTTCAGTCTGTAAACTAACTAACCCAGCACTTCATCTGCATATATTTGTTTTACATGTAAAGAAAAAATAAACTCTGATTGTTTCATATGTGATTATTTCTTCAAGTTAAGTTGAGATTTAAAGGTGTACTTCTGTCATTTACTATGCTACTTTTTCCTAAATTCTTTATTATAGAGGAAGAAAGTAGTAAGTCTAGTATATCTTTTGTTTGTTTTCAGTTGGGCCCAAAGGACGGGTTATAAGTTATGAAATCAGGGATGATCATCACAATTTAGCTAAGAAGAATTACAAGCACTGGCGTACTGCGTGGGAAATAGGACGTATGCAAGAGTGGCCAGATAACGTGGATTTCATTCTTAAAGACATTTCAAAAGCTGCTGTAGATATGAAATCTGTAACACTTGATGCAGTAAGTCCGAAAAGTCCTCCCATTTGACATTTTTCTTTCCTTCAGACATTAAAACCATTAGTGCTCACACTTGCAATGGGATTCCCATATCTAGTTTAACATGAGATAAAACAATCAGAGCCTCATCAATGAAAGAAATACTGTGATTTCTTGGTTTTTTGTCAGATTACAAGTATTTTCAGGGTTTTGGTTACAGTTTTCCAAATGAAAGAGCGATATGGCTGTACTACAGAAATACTACAATTAATCTGTCTTGTAAGCAAAGACAAACATTTTTTTGTATTTTGGAATAATTGATATTTTTGTATCTAAGGCATATGTTTTAAATACTAAATTTAAGAAAAGTACATAGGTTTATTGAAAATATAAATATGTAAACAGTTTGCTATCAGCTATGTAGAACGCACAATATAATTAAAGCCTAAGTTAAAGTAAGGAATGGTATTGCTTGCTCTCCTGTCCTGCTTCTTATGTCCAGATTTTGTAAAGGGAGGCGTGCTGAGGAAAACAGCTAGATGTTAACCACTCTTCTAAGTAAAGCAGACAAACTACTTACATTAATGCTTTAAATAAACGACAATTGTGTTAACAGTTGGAGCAAAGAAATAAAATAGTGTAAAAATGTAATTTTTAAAACTTTAAATGTAACAGTCCACAGGAAGGATCAGATATTGCATATCCCATTGTTTTACAGTTTGAATGTTTTCTAGCAGAAGATGGATAAACTGCCAAAGACCAAAGTTTTCTATATCTTGAAATAAAGTTAGACATGGAGACTGCGGTGTGATCTTTTCATGATAAAGATACACATGAACATAATTAGTTTTCAAATGTAAAAAAGAAAAGATATCCAAATGTGTTAGTAAATGTAGTCTTCTAAAAGTTTTTATTAATGTCAATATTATGAAATTTAATGAGTGGAAGGTGTAACGTTAAAACAGGACTACTGCATTGGTGAAGCACTACTTGTTCTACTAGAAATTCAGTTGGAAGTAGCAAGGACTTTTGTAAATATGGACCTCAGGTTTCACTAAGATTTTGAGAGACAGTAATAAAACTGGTTTGTGATTACATACTGCTGTTGTATGCATTCATTTTCTGTAGATAAACATTGTTTTCTCAAGCATTGTTGTAATGAGAAAAAAAAGTGATAGATATTTACTTGAAAAACATGTATCTATCTTTGCAGGTAGTTCTGGATATGCTTAACCCTCAGTCTGCTCTGCCTGTTGTACACCCAAGTCTGAAACAGGGTGGTGTGTGCGCTGTGTATTTAGCCAAGTAAGTATTTACTTCTGGCACTTAGGCATTTATTCAGGCATCACCTAACACTGTTACAAAACCAAACATCTTTTTAAATATACATCCACCATTAATCAAATGTTTAACAAAATAATTTTTTTTCCCCATTTAATTTGGGGGGATCGGAGTTGCACAAATTATACTTGGCCAAATCCTTTGGCCTTTACTTTGAGAATGTTCTCATTATGGTCAGTGGAAGTCTTCACTTAATGACACCCTCAGAATAACCATGCTGTTTTCTAGTGCAATAGTCAGGTTGCTAGCTCCTTTACTTTAAAATTGAAGGATTTGTGTAACCTCAAAGTTAAAGAATGAGACAAAGGCAGTAGAATTGAGATTAACTGTGTATGATCTGAGTTTTCAAAATAATACTTTATCCTTTGCATTTCTTCAAAAAGCATCACACAGGTTATTGACCTTTTAGACAAATTACGGACCTGCAAGCTCCCTTTTTTGTGTGAAAGGATCATTGAGGTGACTCACAGAAATTGGTTGGTACTCCCTGCTAAAATCAAGAATTCCAAATCAAGCCAAATGGTGGAAACTCAAGAAAATATTGAAGAACCACCTCAAAAGGAATATGAAGAAATCCACATTCAGGATCAAGTATTTTTTAAAGAAAGTGAATACAGTGGTAAGAACATTATTGCTGATGAGAGATCCTGTTATTGCAATTTGATAATCCAAGGATATCATGAAGGCAAAGTTTGTAGGAAGAGGCAGTAATTTTTTCTTAGGTCAGCTGAGATTGTTGTGAAGCATAGACAAGCTTTTGGACAGCCTAGACCTTGTCAGGCTTGAAAAAAGATACATTAATGGTTATTTAAGTTTAAATATCTTTAAAAATCTAGACTACATAGAAAATAAATTACAATCTGCAAATAAAGAACAACTGTCCTGCTACTACTGTTTTCAAATTTATATTTTTTAAATAAAATTCACTCTACTCATCCTGTAGCTGCCTTAGAGGACTCCAATGGGCTTAAGAGTTCCATAGAAGAAATGGTACCAGTGTGCTCTGTTTTGTAATCATGCTGTTCTGGCAAATCCAAAAAAGATGCCTCATACTGGCATAGATTTACAAAATCCATAGCAGGGCAAACAGGTCTGAATGTCCTGATAGGTGATAACAAAGCACTTCAACAGAAGCAAAAAGAAAATGAAAATACATGGGGGGAAAAATAAACCATGCACATTGGCAACTCCAGTCTGTATGTTTGTTTTAAGCTTGTCGGGAGGAATTTTTAAAAATTTACTTCTTACAGAATCTGACAATGCTGAAACATACTGCTCGGTGCCTTATGTTGCTAGACCGTCTTATTGGCAGGAAGCTCATTCAGGTAAGACACCTGGAAAATTGGGTTTTTGTCTTAAATGTTTAGTGGTATCTCATTTTCAAAAATGCTTTTTTTTTTTTTTTTTTGTACTAGCATGTGACATGTTACTATATCATGAAATCATAAAACATATAATAATAAAATAATCATTGTGTATTGAAATACTGAAGTAGTAACTTGTTTTCTTTTTTAATTAGCATTTCTTACCAAGCTGAGAAAGTTTCGACCACCCCTTGCCTGATGCTGCTGACATGTTAGCTGCTAATTTAAGTATTGTATCAGAATTAAATAAAGTGTTACAAAGTACCTGCTACGTTTTGCAAGTTGTGTAACTTTTAAGTAAGGACTGCTTTGATTTCTACTGCATATAAAGTTTGAAATCTCACCTACTATTTAAAGGGAAAAGTTCTAACAGAATCATCAGGTATGGTGGTGTGATGCCACAAGGATTGTTTTGCAAAGCACAGTATCTGTTTCTGTCTCATCGGGTGTATTTCATTCTTCATTGCTTGTAAACCAAGCCATGGATTTGTCTTGGTTCAAGGTGCTACCTGGCCTTCTGCTGGAGAAGCTCTGACAGTCTACCAGAAATAAGGAGAAAAAAAGAAAAGAATGGATCAAAGTCTGCCCTTTGAAATGCAAGTGAAGCAGCTTTTGACTTCACTAACTACAGTTATCAGTTTCTTTATGAACAGTGTTCTTAATGCACAACTGTAAGAGAAACTGAAATTCACTGGATTCGTTTTCTTGATAAAGCTGTGCTTGTTTCAAGAAAAAGACCAGTTGTTGACAGATAGAGCTTTGGTTCACTTCCAGCACCTATGCTGAAATTGGCCTGGTAATTTGTGAACTTTGCTATATATAAAGCATGCTCACGTGGTCAAAATAAACACAGTTTTTTCTGACCTTTGTCAGATACAAAAAGCAAGATCTCTCAAGTAAAAATAGATTTAAAATTAAGGCTATTAGGTCTCACATAAGTCTCCACATAAGCACATGTTGATGCTTCATACATTTAATATGTTATGTGATGTGTTGTAGACACCTGACTTGCTCTGTATCTCAAGGAAGCTTCAAGTGCCAAATTTTTCAAAAGTCGAGGGATCCATTGGGAATCACAGTTGTACTGAAGCTGTCAAAAGCAGTAACACAATCCCACCATAATAGTGAAAATTTGGATATTAGGGAGAACATATGCAAATAAAATATAGAGCTATAAATAACTGTAACCTTGTATTAAATAGGTATATTTAAAAGTCTGCAGTGGTTAAACACATGGGAGTATCTTTGTAGAACTGAGGCCTCTATACAGCTCTGCCAGGAAGTTCACATCTCAAGTGTGTTCCACTCAGTAATAAATGAAACAATGAGTGTTTGCCCCATGACTGCAGTATGTAATGGAGGCTTCTCATACAAAGGCTCAGGGTGCTATTTTGAGTAGATTAATGGGCAAAGATTCAATTACATAAAACCATTTTCACAACACTCTTGTGTTGTTTCTACCCATACCCCAGTCTTAAAAGGAAGTCTTGTATAAACTGTCAAAAGCTGAGATACGCTGAAAGAAAAATGTGAATGAAAAATGTGATGTCCTGATGACAGCAACTGAGCAGGTTGCCCTTTCTAAAACCAGTGCTCTCAACAAGAGTGCTTTAACTCACGTAACACACTAATATTTTTACTGTTTCTTCTAGCCAACCCTAAGTGTTAAAACCAGGATTTTCAACCTAATTTACAATGTAAGAATAGTAATAAATGCCTAAACAGACTGGAATGCAACCCAAAATCTACCATAGTAGGTGAAGGTAATTTGAAGAAACAGAATAAAAACCAGTTGGTTCTTCCAGGAAGTCAAGAGATAAGGTGTGAAAATGAAACTATGGCAGTAAAAGCACAGTTCTGCTGAGGTAACTGCGTTTGTAATGGGGGTGTCTGCTCCCACAGAGAGGTAGTCTCCTGTCATACCAAGAAGGGGACAGTTCTCCTTACAGTAGTCTGAAGGTCAAATATGGCCTCAGTTGCCTAAACTAACTGAAAATTATTTGCAGTGTTAAACCATACCTTGGGCACAATGAAAAGGAGAGTCAACGAGCATTTTTTCAGTTGGAAAGGTGTCCTTTGTATTCTGGGGTGAATGTAATTCCACCATCTCCAAAGTACCAGTAGATGAGGAGGAAGATGACAATCCTAGACGTACATATCTTCCTTTCTTGCCACAAAGCAAGCAGTCTGTAGGAGTAGCACTAGGTTCTCGAGGCAGCAGTACTTCATCATTGTAGTTTCTCATGGCTCCGCTGTGGTGCGTAGAACGTTCTCGCTGCCATGCGTAATGTGTTGGAGCAATAGCCATCACCTATCGGAACAGCCATTAGATCAGAAACCATGAGAGTAGTGTGAAAACACAGCTGAAAACAAGGGATCCAGTTCATGTATGGCAGAGAATTAATACTATGTAGCTGAAATGGATATCATCTACTATCTATCTGTTTCTGTTTCACTAGAAAGTTTGCTACCTTAGGCACGAGTAAGTGAAGTAGTTGTGGAAATGACTCAGATGTAGAAACACAACAGTTTACAGCCTTGTATGTTCATGTGAGTCATTACAGATACCAGCTTATGCTTTGTATGTTGGACTAAAGATGGTGCCTTTTACTAACTACTAAACATCAGCTGGATGGATCTTCTGGTTCACAACGTCACTGCACTGACCATTGAAAGCTGACAGGGTATGCTGGGAGAAGCACCCACACTTGCCTTGTTTCTGGTACTACTCCCACAAGCACCCAATCCCACCCCCAGAGATGGGATTCTAGAGTATTCCATCAGCTGTAGTAAATGTTCTTAGAACATGACAGGGCTTCTCCAGACAGATACATTCCACCTGAAAAGTGAGGAGTGTCTTTTTTCCCTCCCAATATGTTTGAAAAATGTAGGTTGTAACACTGCATTAATAGTAGCGAATGCTAAAGGTGTGTCAGAGGTTTTTTTAAGTGAAGTGAAAAACCCTTACCTTAAAAAGTCAGTTGAAGTTTTATTAATTTTGAAGGGACTAAAGTTTCAACTGAGGTGCTGAATTTGTATTTAAAGGTTTTACTTGTGTACAGATTTATAATTTGTAAAGGCAACACACAGAATTATTTCTAAAGTGAATGAAGTGAAACACCAATGGTAAATTTTAAATAAGAGTATTTGCATAAAGCAGTAAGATTCTAATCAATAAAAACTTCACTTTTAACAGTAGTGCAATATAAAATATTCTAGTTTTCCTTAAAAGCACAGTTTCAAAGAATGTATTTTAATAGCAGAAGTAAAAAATCACGGAGACAAATGTATATTTACATTTTACCTGCATCTGTTCTTTCCCATGGCACTTTAGGGAAGAAATTATTTGTGTAGAGCTAGATTGTTAGCTGGTACTAATTGTTGTAGTTTCAGCATCTACGGTATGAAAACTCCCTACCTCTTCACAGCAGCGTCTGCTTACAATAGCCCTGTAGTCAATTCTACTCCAGAGTTGATCTCTTAACTTTAAGAAATCAGGGAAGAGCTTTCTCCAGGCTTTTCCCAAAGCCCATGGGAAAATGTCATACTTTGATTCTTCATCATCTTCTTCAACTGTATTTGCCAGATACCTTCAAACATATATACGTTGGTGTTTGTAAATATGATTCAATCTTAATCACTATATTAGTATGATTTCTAACAGTAAAAGACATAATACTGAAGTAGTTCATTTTCTCAGTATTGTGAGAAAACCACTAAGACCATACAGCCTTCTCTCTGGAGTACAGTTATTTTCTTAATCAGAAGGGTGCATACACATCATTTGGGTAAATAAAAACTTAAGCTCCTATAAAATTGCTTTTCCCTGAAGGGTCCTAAATGAGTAGATATGCAAGAACGAACATATCCTGACAGATTTCTCTGAACTGGCAAGATACCCTTGCACTAAAATGAACAGTTTCTGACTGATTCTCTAAATAAAGCTTAAAACTATCTTACAAAATCTTAAACTTTACATTGTCTACTTCATGGATTTTAGCTATTCTTGGAAAACTATGCTGCTCACATTAAATTAGCAGAAAACAACTAAATACAGGTCTACCTTCATATATAAATGAAAACCTTTAAATTACTTTTTTAATGTCCATATTTCTCCCTCCCTTCATGTGCTACTTTTGGCTCTGGATCATCTTCTCAGACAATGGGAGAATACTACTTCTCTGGATTCACTTAATACTAAACTAGAAATCATATGTGAAAAAATTATGACTTTCAATCTCCTCCCCAATTTTCTCACTTGCGCCTAACTCCAATATTCCCTGTAGTCCCGGTCTGACCAGACCCTTTGTCCCTTTCTCGTGGCCTGGCTTTTCTCCCTTCATTGGAGTCAGACAGCTTCCTCCCCCATGCTCTACAGATGCTACAAGGATACCGTTTACAGGAGAAGAAAGACATACTTCTCTTTGCGCTTGTCTGCCATTCACAGCATCTGAGAAGCGCTATTACAGAAAAAGATGACTTGAGCATCATAACACTATGAAAGAAAATGCTGAATCCCTCTGTGGGTATAGCCAAATACGGGGAAATTATATAAGCTTGGTAAAGACACTACTGATTGCACCTCTGTTTCAAAGTATAGAAATTTTAGAATTGTTATAAAAAATTATCAGAAATTCTCTAGCAGCATTTTTACAGTTGGCTTAAATCATGTTGACAGAAACTAATAAAAAGTTACTCCCAAGGTGCCTATCATGATGAAACATGTCAGTACAAATGATTTAAAGGCTAGCAAAGATATAAAATAGGGTCTTATAACAGGCAGAGCGTGAGCTACGTATATGTTGTCATGTATTGTCCTGCATCTATTTCTTGTAATGCTTAAAGAAGTTCACAGATTTAGTTTGGTGGGCAGAATGCCACGCTGTGTATCACCGCACCAACACAAACGTCCCCTCACTGCTGCTCAGGCTTGTTCCTCACAGGTGGTCCTCAGAGGAGGAATGTTGAATTTGCACTATTTATATATAGTATGTAGATTCTGTTTCTATACTTCATATAGAACCCAAAAACTACACGCTCGTTAAATGAGTCCCACTGTATAACAGGATTATCAGAGGCATAAACAAAGGAATAAAATAAATTTTATGCTAATAAAACCAGGTAATTTAAAAGTACTTACAGAGCAACAAAGAAATTGATTCTGGTATGCTCATTTATTGCGAAGTTAGCCCTCTTGAAATAAACAAAAGTCATTGCCAAGAGATACTGTTTTAAAATATAAAATGAAGTATCAATATATTATTTCAGTATATAATTTCCTAAAATGCTTCACACATTTATCTTGCACCAAAATATTTTCATAATTTTTATCAACAAGCATAAATTGAGTTTCTTGAAGCTTCCATATGAACACGTTAAAGAAACCTATGGTCTGTATTTGCATTACAGTATCAAGTGATTTAGGACAGATTTTTTTCACTCAGTATATGTTCTGTTAACTAAGAAGGAAATACACTTACCTTGTCTGCAATTTTACAGCAACAGTCCATCCAAAGGAAGTCTTGGATTAGATCATCATCTGCAACAAAAGAAAGTTGTAGCATTTCAAACACCAAAATTGTTTTTGATGGAAAATATTTGTAGAGATGGTCCTTTTATTAAACGAAATAAAACCAAATGAGCTAGACCCAGCAGAGGAGAACAGAGAAGTGGGAGAAAGAGATTAGGTATGAAAAAATGTAAGTGACAAAGATAAAATACCAGAAAGGCAAGGTGGAAAATCTAGTGAGTGCATTTCATTCATTCTCAGTAATAGCAAGTGAAGGTGAAAATACCAGTATTTTTTCTATTTATGTAATTTCTTCCTTTGTGAAGTGGTTCCATCTAATAGCATGCTGTTATTTATGAACTATAGACTGGTGAGATCTCTGCACCTTGGTTACCTGACAGCCTTTATAAGGCAATAGTGGCATGATTATTTGTGGTCAGTGCATCATTGTCTGTGAACATGTACTATAATAGGATTACCGCAAACTCTCTCTGATTCACTTCTGTATTCAAGGTTCAAATAAAAACCAAGTGTAATCTTCCACTATTACTTAATCTCTTCGCTAAATACGGAACTTCATATGAAAGAGACACAAATGCAAAAGAGATGCTACAACTCCTCAGCTTTTCTTCTCATTCCACTTCTCCCCATAAATGTTTATTCCTACAATAAATAACATGTTTATAAGACTGGGAGTCCAGCCTTTTTTAAGCCTTGTGTAAAACAAGATGTACATTGTTTTACATGTATTTGTTGAAATATAAGAGAAAATAGTAAATGGAAATCATCATGAAAGAAAGAATCATGCCACCTTGGTTTCATTTGTAATTTAAAAAGATACTTTTCATCAGTTTGGTAGCCCTTCTTGTATTTTTAACTTAAGCATTAAATATTTATACACTAAAATAATCACAAAATACATTTAGACAAAGATATGGGGTTTAGTATCTCTTACAAAAAGCACTTCCAAAATTATTGACTTTAGAAAACATACTTGCTTGATAGTTTTCTCCTGTTCAGTCAATACATTGATATCTGTCATTATTAACCTACCAAATAATTTAAAGAAAGCTGTCATTTCCTGGCGCTGAATAACTAGACATGGTCCCCTTGGACATTTATATTTATGACTAGGAGACTTTTCTTCACCATTTTCGTCATGGTCTTTAAAAGTGGGCCGCTTTAGTCTAATGAGTTTTTTTTGCTGATGTGATCTGGATGCACTAGATTTTACATGAACAGTGACAGTGGGAGGTGTCTGACACACCGGACTGTGTCTTTAAAAAAAAAAAAAAAAAAAAAAAAAAAAGATAAATTAACTACAAAAATAGTAAGTTTGAGCAGTAGTTCTCCATATGCCTTGTTCAAATGAAGTATTTCAGTAGAGCTTGTATATCAGGGGATACAAAAATTAATTTGGTATCAGTACTAATTATCTAAGTTCTGTGCCCTAAGCCAACTATGTAGATTAATTTAGTTCTACTTTGATAAAGCTCTTTTTCAGTGGAAGGAGCCTTCACTCTTTCTTTTTCCATTCAAAATTTTGAAAAATGGAAAAAAATCCTTTCCAGAAAAAGTTGCTGTTTGTCAGATCATCGTAGCCCTACACACATATCTACAAAAAAAATCTCCATTCCTCCCATTTGTGATTGTGTATTTTTTAAATAGCATTAACAGAATGCAACAGAACCATAATTAAGCCATATTGCATTAAAATTAAAGTCTTGAGCTCATAATTTTTGTAACATTTGACTATAGCCATTGGGAATGGAACTTATTGCTCAGGTAGGACACTGCCTGAAGGCATAACCAAGGAAACAGACCTGAGATGTCTTTAACTGTAAAAGTCAAGATACTAAATGAAGCGTGAGGGAAGGTATTTTTAGACAGGAGCAAATTCATTTACTTCTTCAGTAGCTTCCCCCCCCCCCCC